TTACTTTTCTTTATTTTAATTAGTGTTTGCTTATTTTTGGACAGTTTCACAAACAATGGCTATTAGGGCCTCTTTTTTATTTTATTTTTAATTAATTAATAGAATTGCCTTGTGGAACACAATAAAAAAAAAAAACCTTTTCTTCATGTGATAAATATATAGTACAATATTCATTATGATAACAAGGTTTGAACCTATGCTAATTTTAGAAAAAAAAACTTTATATCTGAAAGTGATTTGGTACCTTTAAATCCTTTACAAGTCACATGCATGCAAACTTTAAAATAATGCCAAAGTTACGAGACTCCAAATTTAGGAGGGTCAAAATGTGACCAAATATAGGTAACCCTTCAAAAGAATACAAAAATCTAAAGGGCTTTGATATTTGCCACTGTGGCTATTAAGCCTTCTTGATATAGAACTAAATTAATTTTAGGCCTTAACCTAAAAAAAGGAAAATATCTACACATATTTTCCCACTTATAATATGAATGAACGTTGCTTCTTCAAAACCTTCTAACTTTTAAATTACACTTTACAATACCAAATAATTTTTGGATTTTTCTTCGGATTCTGAAAATTCTAAAATTTAATTTTAAGTTGAATTCTAACAATTAAAAAAGAAAAGTAAGAGAAATAAATTAAAATGAAAAATAGTACAAATCACAATAATTAACAACTTAATATATTTTCAAGATACATAAAAATACTTATAGACAAGATTTGTAGGACTTACTTGTGGGGAAAAGCTGATGATAAGAAAAAGGTAGCTCTAGTATCTTGGGAAAAAATCTGTTATCCAAAGAGAGAAGGTGGATTAAACATTAGAAGTAGCAGCAGGAACATTGCATCGGTAGGGAAAATGTTGTGGCAAATAATTGAGAACAAGGAATCCCTATTGGTAACGTGGATATATGGAATATATATGAAAGATGGAACAACAATATGGAATCATAGAACACCTGCAGATTGTAGCTAGTATTGAAAGAATCTAAATGCAATCAAGATCCAAATACAGGGTTGGTATAACCTAGGAAGATACATACTCACACAAACTGGGAAATATTCCATCACTAGTGGAGCAATCTTATATCACATATGGAGAGCCAGGAATTGGAAAAAGTTCAAAGGCAAGCTGACTGTACATACAAAAGGAGGCAGGAACACAGACCAAAAAGAAGATTATTGAGAGATTACAATTACTTAGTAGTTCAAAAATCATGGAATTGTAGGAGTTTTGTCAGACTTTTACTTTGTAATACTAAGTTTTTAGCTTTGTAGGAGGCCTAATCCATGTTATCAGGTATAGGTGCTCTTTATTTGTACTGGTTTTGATGGTAATGATAATTTTTTACAGTTGTTACCAAAAAAATAATTGATGGACTCTTGTGCCACATAAATTAGGACAAGGAAAGTAACACATATTATTTAAAAAAACTAAAAATTACTATAAATCACCGTAATTAACAACTTAAAAATTTAAAAGACATAAAAAATTTAATTCATTCTCGAAATTCTGTTAGTGTCACATAAATTGAAACAAAAGAAGTAACATAACTTATTTGAAAATGACGTAAAAAGTATTACAAAGCACACTAATTGACAAACATAAAATATTTAAAGATATAAAAAATTGATTGTCTGTCGAAATATCATCAATACTACATCAATTGGGACAGAAGGAATAATATTAAGTGAAAATTATGTAAAAAATAATTGTAAATCACAGTAATTAATAATTATTTACAAACTATACAAAACATTTTAATTCACAATTTAATTTGTGTGTCACATAAATTGAAACAAAATAAATAACATATATTGGGCCAGCAATGGCAATATCTGTACGTGTTTTTGCACGTCAATTAGAACAAAACAACCTTGAAGGTCAATCACCAGAGGGATAGGGAACACAAGCACAAACAACTTAATACTACAAGGAAAATGCAAGCAACTTTACTTTTCTTTATTTTAATTAGTGTTTACTTATTTTTGGACAGTTTTCACAAACAATGGCAATTAAGGCTTCTTTTTTATTTTATTTTAATTAATAGAATTGCCTCGTGGAACACAATAAAAAAAATAAAAATTCTTCATGTGATAAATATATAGTACAGTATTCATTATGATAACAAGGTTTGAAACCTATGCTAATTTTAGAAAAAGCTTTATATCTGAAAGTGATTTGGTACCTTTATATCCTTTACAAGTCTACTCACATGCATGAAAACTTTAAAATAATG